ATTGCACACATGACATTATTGCGCACATACACATTGAACACATAATATTATTGCGCACATTTAAAAATTAAAAATACAAACGTACGTTTGCACACAAGACATTATTGCACATGTACACATTGCGCACATGACATTATTGCGCTTTGTGTAGAAATTCGTAAACCCATGTTGAACCTCGCTTTGTTTGAAATTTACGCGTAGGCGGCGGAGGACTTCGTCCCTACGGGACGAAGCCTCTCCCCCGCGTAAAAACAATAACAAATCCTACTCAGGTTATACCTAACAAGGTAAACCTAACAAGGTTAACCAAGGTTCACAAACAAAGTTGTAAACCCATGTTGAACCTCGTTTTGCATGGAAAGAATATGCGCAATAATATTATGTGTGCAATGTGTATGTGCGCAACAATGTCATGTGTGCAATAATGTCTTGTGCAAACGTACATTTGTATTTTTAATTTTTAAATGTGCGCAATAATGCTTGTAGGCAATCGCTCTGTAGGCAATCGGGAATGTCGGCAATTGAAGCTGTCGGCAAAATGTTGTGGGCAAACGAAGCTGTTGGCAAATGGGAATGTAGGCAGTTGAGACCCTCCCGAGAAAACAACCCCAAATTCCCGCCCTCAATCGTAATAATTAGCCTGTAACTGACGCTGAAAAGGCATTGTGTCATATTGTACAGCATAATTTATGAATCCAAGTACTTGTGACATTATTAATCTATAATAAATTATATTATAATTTTACTGAATTAATTTATAACACATATGTAGTGCGTGATAATGTACCTTATATATAATTCCTTCTCCAGTTACGGTAATCTTCTTTTCAATCGTTGAATTGATTATAAAATGTAAATTATCACGATAGTGTATCTGCTCCAGAGGTCTAAATTTTATTGGAATGATGATGCTTGATCGAGTAGTTATTGCCTCTGAAAGGGCGTCAAGATTCACGGAGATGTGTGGTTTCTCCTCAAACTGGCATTCTAATCTAAAAAAATTATTATTTTATTGATAAATCTTAATTTTCTGTTGAAATGGCATAATTGAAACAGCTTACATGTGTGAAACATTGTCCAAATTTTTGATACATAAATCAATATGATACGGAGCAGCAGTAATGTCTTGTATATAGCAAGGCCCAAAATCGTAATAATTAAAACTAAACGACAGGAATGGTTTATTCGCCGTCGCTTTCAATATTAAGCGGTACGTCGGCCCTCTAGAAATCTGTGTAAAAAACATATTTATACATCTCTTGTTAGATCTTCCATAAAAAAAAAACAGTATTGATATTTAAATAAGAATAATACTTTCAAAAATACAAGATGATTCTTTATCATAGTTTTCTGTAATGCCGTGATGATAAGGCTACAGTTAGATTGTGATTCGCTAACCACATGACTCTGCTTTTGAGGCATTGCAATCGTATACATATTTCTACTTATTATTTCTGGTGTCATGCCGAGGTCCCAAGTATAGTAAAGTGTCATTTTGCTCGAATTTGTTATTTGAAATGTGACAGTAAAGGGCGCTTTTAACATCAACTAAAAATTAGAAATGTTTAATAATCTTAAAATATATTAATTTTTTTATATTTACTTAAAACTACTTAATACCTTTCCGCAATCAATGATATTATCGTTATCATGATTTAATTGTATGATTTGACCACTTTGATCGATGTATGTAACCGAAACGATGATGTCATACGTTATCGTCGTAATCAATATAGTCAAAGGTATCTTTATCCATTTTATATTACACTTTATAAAAAATTGATATTCACCAACAAGTGTAGGTTGGTACTCGATCCTATGTAACAAACAATTCTCGACGTAAATACCTTATTGAAAAAATTCTTGTCACTTAAAAAAACTCACTGCATTTTTTATTTACCACAAAATCTGTTTGCCTTTTGCATTTAAGATGCCATTCATAGGCGCTATCTTCAAATTTTGAAGACACCCTTCGGAGTATAAAGAATCTTGTGCAACCTGGAAGGAAATCTCAAATTCCTCGTTGTTGATTATGCTTATTGATTCCCGTACATTGACACCTGCAGAATATATAAATAATTTAAAAACCAATATAATATAAAGTGCTTTTCCATAAATCTCTATTATTTTACCCAATACAGTTGGTTTCATTTTTAAATGCGCAAGCGAACAATAAACTGACGGTTCTCTGACGTTTGCAACAAACAGAAAAAGACACTCTAGATTGTATTTTTCGATAGAAAATAGCCAAAAGGATTCGAAAATGCCGATGTCTTCTGCAAAGAACGTAAACTCGAAATCGATTTGCTTTCCGCGCTCAGCAATTCCTTCCGGAAGTATACACTGAAAATTCAGAATTTCGTCTTCCATGCGACGAGTTTGATCTTTCCAGGTGAAGTAATAGTCATCTGATGTCGGATTTATCATCCGAAATCTTCTAAAATTTATGATGTTACAAATTTCATCTTTTTGTATCAATTTGTTATTTATATTTGTTTATTATTAGTGCTTACTTTACGTGAGTCTCGCCGATTCCGATCACATTGAGCTCGACTACTTTCGTGTCTTTCGGAAGTAAGCCATTGACCAGTGAATAATCGATAGGTCCCGGCAATTTCATGTTGCGTCTATTTTCATACAGATAGTCACTTTCCGGTACATCAAAGTGGCAGTATGGTAGCAAACTTCTTCCCGCAATGGGAATAATCAATTCTGGCAGATTTGGATCAAGATTCTCCATTCTATCCATTATATAAACAGAAATAAATATTTGTAGATACATATGTATAAAGAATGTATATGTATATGTAAAGAATAATATGTATGTATATAATATGTATAATATGTATAATATGTATATGTATTATGTGATATATATACAGCATGAATTCCGTTAACGTATGTATTGAATATCTCGGAAAGGACGCATTATTTTACTTCGGAGCAAAAAATTATACTATGTATATCGATACCGTAGATTACGATGAAAGTATTTTCAACTTCTAAAAATTACCCCTTGGTGGTTTTTTTGGAAAGATGCTATCCCTATCTTGGTATTTTCAAATGGGAAGGGTATGTTTCGACTTAAGATTCAAATTCTACGCACAAAAATAAGACTTTTTTTACTCTTGTTATTTTTTTGAAATTCCTCCAAATTTTTTAGTTATAGAGGGTTTCTCCAAATTTTGAGCTTTACAAAATGCAGTGTAGCTCTGGCACTAACTAAGATAATTAAGTTCTGAAAAAAGATTCGAAAAGTGCATGTCAAGAGCTTTTTAACGGTGGATCACAAAAGTCAGTTAGGCCAAAATGAGAGAAAAGTGTTTATATTTGTAAAGTTTTGATGGAAGCAGGTAGTGCCAGGTTTTCTTTAGTTAAACACATTCAAACTATGGCCTGATAATAGAAAAGGATCTGTTGTGACCAACCAGAAAGCTTAGTGACCTTAGAAAGTTCTTGACATGTACTTTTCGAATCTTTTTTCAGAATGTAATTATCTCAGTTAGTGCCGAAAGTATACCGCATTTTGTGATGCTTAAAATTTGGGGAAGTCAAAGCATACTCTTCTCGTTTGAAAATACCGAGATACGGATAGCACTCTCCCAAAAAATCTCCAAGGAGCAATTTTTGGACGTAGAAAATAATTTTATCATAATCTACGGCAGAGCTCGGAATTATTTAATCTTTTCGGCCGATTTTCGTGGTATACGCTTCCTTTCCTCTCCTTACCGCGTGCGCGGCAACCGGTAGGGCCAGCGCCGCCGAGCGTTAAGAGCGGTTAATGTTATAAAAATTTATTAAAAATATTTTTTTCCTCAATAACAATAGTACCTCATGGGTGAATGTGGAAATTTATTGAAATATTTCCACATAATAAATTTAAAAATAAAAAAATATTTTTAATAATTGTTGTGGAGTAAGAAGGATCGAAGGCCAAAGTAGAATCTTAATTGCCAAATTTCTTCTTTAATCGATAATGATAATAATAAACGTTTCGATCGATTTTTCGACCATCTTTAGTATACAGAGTCTAATATGTTGTACTAGATTTCATTTAGTGAGAGTTAATTGTCATTTATAACATATTTGTCAAATGTGACATTAGGAAGCTGTGTTAAGAATCGTTTTGCGAGATCAGTCTTAGCACTGGTCAATTCAAAATCGGAAAGACAACTCACAGTTGTTGGCAATTACTCTCTAAGTTTCTTGGAGTGAAAACACACTCGAAAAATTGAGTGACTGGTCGTGTCACTCGAGTTAGAGTGACTTTTCATTCATACGGAGTTAATTCTCTCTCTTTTTGTTTTAGAGTGAATTTTTCACTCTGCAAAGTAGAGTGATTATGTGTACTTTATTTTGTAGAGTGAATATTTTCACTCTATGCAGTGTGGAGTGAATATTTCATTCACATGAAGAGTGAATGATCACTGCGTCTCATTATCTTTTGTTCTCGTCTCATTGTTACACGTATTTAGTGCAAGACATCGTGGATATATATAAGAATATCTATAAAGAATACATGTAGATAGACATATAAAAATGTCAACGTTTCTTCCAGAGGTAAGTACTTATAAGAATTTATGTGTAGTTTATTTACTGATTTAATATATTATGTAAAGAATGGTGTTTAGGTTAAATTGTTTTTCTAGGTTATGTTACAGAAAAAGTAAATCGAGATCTCACAGCATGTGATTCGCCGTGCTACGTAGCTTTGTCATAAATTTGGTTTGCATATTGATAAACAAGTAGTACAATGAGAAGTAACTTATATAATGACTTGTAGTTTATTAAATCGGCATGTGCTGTAAAATCTCGGTTATAGTTAAGTCTGTCGAAATAATATTAAATTTTTTTCTTTTGTTAGGAGACGTTAAACAGTACTGAAAACTTAAATAAATTTTTATTAAGCAGTGGAATTTCGGAAGACGCCGTCAATATTTTGAAAGGTAAGATTTGCAATAAAATTAAAATTATAGTGTTACGTCCTGATAGATGTAGAATTTTTTCGTTGGGCTCGGCGATCGACGTAAACGGACCTGACCGCACGAGCCGAGCGGCACGTTTAGGACTTGCGACGGGTCAGCGACTGGAAGAGTCGTTTTTACTCCGTCAACAAGTCAACCGCTCGTGGTTCCCTTTTTGGGTCAAGGAATTGAATCCCTATTACCCGGGGCGGAACCTTTGTGCGCAATTTGAGAGGGAAGGTGTGAGGGGGTGACGAACGAGGAGGGTGTGGTTAAATAGAAAAAGAACAAAAGTTTAATTTACTAAAGACAACATTTTAATTTGATTGAATTTATAATTAGGATACAAAAACTTAATTCTTAATCGCATATGTTAATAATTTTATTTAT